TCACCCAACAATCAGATCTCCCTGAGGTACACATTGTGTTCTTCCATCTTTTTGCATTATCCACCATGTGCAACCTGGTCCCTGAGCAAAAACAACCCCACAAATGGGTTTGTCTGTATTCGAGGCAGGATTAATCCAAACTGTCTTCCCTAATAAACCTCTGACATGTACCACTGGGACTTTGTCTCCATTTACTCTCTGCAAAGGCTCAGATTGGGCAGGGCCCACTCGGTTAGTAGAGCCTTGGGTGTTAATTAACCAGGTGGCTTTTGCCAGATGCTGCTCCCAGTTTTTGAAAGATCCCCCACCTAATGCTTTCAATGTGGTTTTTAACAGACCATTGTACCTCTCCACTTTTCCTGCAGCTGGTGCATGGTAGGGAATATGGTACACCCACTCAATGCCATGCTCCCTAGCCCAGGTGTTGATAAGGCTGTTCTTGAAATGAGTCCCATTGTGTGACTCAATCCTCTCAAGGGTGCCATGTCTCCACAGAACTTGCTTTTCAAGGCCCAGGATGGTGTTCCAGGCTGTAGTGATGCCGAATTTTGCCCCAAAAGGCGAGAATAACTGCCTAAGAGACTCAATTTAAGTCAGCATAGACAGGAGGTATTTTATTACGACGCGTCGGAGAAATCACAAAAGGGATTTCTGAGTATCTCGTAACCGAAGTAAGGCTTTTATACAGTTTTGATTATGAAGTTACATCATATCACATGCATAATCATGTTTTTGCATACATATTCATAAGAGGCGTGGTGTAGGCGGAGCGTGGGCGGAGACATCTCTTTTGAGGATCATTTTGGTGGTCGTTCCGGTTGCCTTCATCGTGGGCAGGGGTCACCTGATGAGTCTTCCTCCTTAAACTTTTGAACTCCTATTCTAATATGGCCAATTCCCGGTGTACTTGGCTTGGTCCCCTGGCTTGGCAAGGCTATTAGGGTTAGTTTGACTTTGTTGGCTCTGAACATGCTTAGCCCATCAGTTCCCCTATCCCTGTCTCTCTTTCCTGTCACGGTGTTCCATGCCTTAACTGATTTATTGCCCTATATGTTTCCTAAGTGCTAAGCTTTCTTCAAATGTTTCACATTCCATGTTTTAACTCATTATTTCTTGAAGGCTATCCGTTTTGGGGCTTCAGTAGCATGAGACACAGGGTAGGTTTCCAGCCATCCAGTGGTGGCCTCCACCATGGTCAGCATGTAGCGCTTGCCCTGGCATGTCTGGGGGGCAGTGTGATGTAGTCAATCTGTCAGGCCTCCCCATACTTGCACTTGGACCACCACCCACCGTACCACAGGGGCTTCACTCGCTTGGCCTGCTTGATGGCAGCACACGTCTCACAGTCATGGATAACCTGAGAAATACTGTCCATGGTTAGATCCACCCCTCAGTCTCATGCCCATTTATAGGTGGCATCTCTGCCCTGGTGGCCTGAGGCATCATGGGCCCATCGAGCTAGGAATAACTCTCCCTTATGTTCCCAATCTAGGTCTATTTTGGACACCCCTATCTTTGCAGCCTGATCTACCTGCTCATTGTTTTGGTGCTCCTCATTAGCTCTACTCTTGGGGACATGGGCATCTACATGGCAGACCTTCACAGGCAGTTTCCCTACCCTGGTAGCAATGCCTTTCCACTGATCAGCAGCCCAAATTGGTTTTCCTCTACGCTGCCAGTTAGCCTCTTTCCACCTCTCCAGCCATCCCTACAGAGCATTGGCTACCATCCATGAATCAGTGTTAAGGTAGAGCTTTGGCCACTTCTCTCTCTCAGCAATGTCCAGGGCCAGCTTAACAGCTTTGAGTTCAGCAAGTTGGCTTGATCCACCTTCTCCTTCAGTGGCCTCTGCCACCTGTTGTGTGGGGCTCCATACGGCTGCTTTCCACTTCCGGTTCATTCCCACAATGTGGCAAGAACCATCAGTAAAGAGAGCGTATCGTGTATCTTCTGCTGGCAGTTGGTTGTATGGTGGAGCTTCTTCAGCCCGTGTCACTTCTTGTTCCCCTTCATCAGTGAGACCAAAGTTTTCACCTTCCGGCCAGTTTGTCATTATTTCCAGAATCCCAGAGCAATTCAGTTTACCTATACGGGCGTGCTGTGTGATAAGAGCAATCCACTTGCTCCATGTGGCAATGGTGGCATGGTGAGTGGAAGGAACCTTGCCTTTGAACATCCACCCCAGCACTGGTAGTCGGGGTGCCAGGAGGAGTTGTGCTTCAGTGCCTATTACCTCCGAGGCAGCCTGGACTCCTTCATAGGTAGCCGAGATTTCCTTCTCTGTTGGAGTATAGTTGGCTTCAGAGCCTCTGTAGCTTCGACTCCAAAATCCCAGTGGTCGGCCTCGAGTCTCCTCAGGCACCTTCTGCCAAAGGCTCCAGGACAAGCCATGGTTCCTGGCTGCAGAGTAGAGCACATTCTTCACCTCTGGTCCAGTCCTGACTGGGCCAAGGGCTACTGCATGAGCAATCTCCTGCTTAATCTGGGCAAAGGCTTGTTGCTGCTCAGGGCCCCACTGGAAATTGTTCTTCTTGCGGGTGACCAGGTAGAGAGGGCTCACGATCTGACTGTACTCAGGAATATGCATTCTCCAAAAACCTATTGCACCCAAGAAAGCTTGTGTCTCCTTCTTATTGGTGGGGGGAGACATTGCTGTGATCTTGTTGAGGACATCTGTAGGAATTTGATGCCGTCCATCTTGCCACTTCACTCCCAGGAATTGAATCTCACGAGCTGGTCCCTTTACTTTACTCTTTTTAATGGCAAAACCAGCTCCCAGGAGGATCTGGATGATTTCCTTCCCTTTCTCAAACACTTCCGCAGCTGTGTTCCCCCACACAATGATGTCATCAATATACTGCAGATGTTCTGGAGCCTCTCCCCTTTCTAGTGCAGTCTGGATCAGTCCATGGCAGATGGTGGGGCTGTGCTTCCACCCCTGGGGCAGTCGGTTCCAGGTGTACTGCACTCCCCTCCATGTGAAGGCAAACTGAGGCCTGCATTCTGCTGCCAGAGAATGGAGAAAAATGCATTGGCAATGTCTATAGTGGCGTACCACTTTGCTGCCTTGGACTCAAGCTCATACTGGAGCTCTAATATGTCTGGCACAGCAGCACTTAGTGGTGGAGTCACTTCATTCAGTGCACGATGGTCCACAGTCAATCTCCATTCTCCTTCAGATTTTCGCACAGGCCAAATGGGGCTGTTGAAGGGTGAGTGGGTCTTGCTGACCACCCCTTGGCTCTCAAGCTCTTGGATCATCTTATGGATGTGAACCACAGCATCTCGAGTGGTTCTATACTGTTGGCGATGCACTATGGAAGTCGCAATTGGCACTCGTTGCTCTTCTCCCTTCAGAAGCCCTACTGCAGATGGATTCTCAGACAGCCCAGGCAACATGTTCAATTGCTGGATGCCCTCTGTCTCTACAGCTGCTATCCCAAATGCCTACCTGAGATCCTTTGGGTCCTTGAAAGACCCTCTTTGGAGGTAATCTATGCCCAAAATACATGAGGCCTCTGGGCCAGTCACGATAGGGTGGTTCTTCCACTCATTTCCAGTCAGGCTCACATCAGCTTCCACCAAAGTGAAATCCTGTGATCCCCCTGTCACACCAGCAATAGAAACAGACTGTCCCCACATGTCTTGATGGGATTAATGTACATTGCGCACCAGTGTCAACCAAAGCTTTATATTGTTGTGGTTCAGATGTGTCAGGCCAATGAATCCACACAGACCAGAAAACACGATTCTCCCCAGCCTCTACCTGGCTAGAGGCAGGGCCCCTCTAAGCCTGGTTATCCTTCTTTCCCTGGGCATATGTCTTGGATGTTCCTTGAAGGGGATCAGACATGTCATCATCATCATACCTGGCAGTTCCGCTGCGGGCAACTGGAGCTGCTTTCCTTTTGGTGGAACTCGCTCTCTGAGCCGTGTCTTCCTTTAATTCACGCACCCGTCATGCCAGAGCAGCAGTAGGTTTTCCATCCCATCTCCTCTTGTTTTCCCCACAATCACGCAGGTAGAACCACAGATCAGCTTGTGGGGTGTACCATCTCTCTCCATCTGGGGAATGTCTGTGTTGGGCACCAGAATCTCTGATCCGTAATGCTGAGATACGGAGAAGGTTGTCTTTAATCTCCTCTCTGAGCTTCTTGTGATTCTCCTCTATCTTATCCTCCAATTTCTGCAGACGTGTTTCCACTGTTGCAATTCTGGCATGTGTCGGGCCATGTACAGCATCTGCATATGCTCGGAGCTTCCTTGCCATGTCAAGCACAGTCTCTTCCCTCTCATCCCTCTTCATGATGGCTAAGGCAGAAGCATATTCATGTGGCCCAAGTTGTACAAGTTTTCACCACATAACAGATGCGCATGGTTCTAAGTCTGGGTTCCTAGTTGTTACATCATCTGAGAAGATAATCTCTGCCACTGCCATTTCTCTCAGGTGTTGGATCCCTTGCTCTATGGTCTTCCACTGGGTTTGTTGCATATAGAGATCATCTGCACACAGGTATCTTCGTGCAACACTGTCCAAGACCCGTGCCCAGAGGCTGTGTGAGTTAGCCCCCCTCATCATTCCTTGGTCTATGACAGGATCCTGTGACAGGGATCCCAAATGCCTGGCTTCAGTGCCATCCAGAATTGTAGCCTCGCCTGCAGCATCCCAGAGACGGACCAGCCAACTAATTATGGATTCATCAGACCTTCGAGTGTAATCCTTCCGTAGGCCACGAAGGTCCTCCAGGGAAAAGGACTCAAGAGTGGCTTCTGATCTTGCGCCTGCTGCTTTGACTCCTGATTTTATGTCAGGAGGCATTGAAGGTCCTTCTCCTGTATCATCATCATCATCATCCACTGGTCGATTGGTCTTGTCCGTGAACTTTCCACTTCTAGTGCTGGTAGCCACAGCCATTGATTGAGGCTCATTGCTTGGTTTAGCTGCTGGCCTAGGCTCACTATCTGGTCTGGCTGCTGGCTTCGAGCCTGGCTGCAGCCTGAGTCACCAGGACAGTTGCTGATTTATCTCCCTGCCCCCCTGCCTCTGTCTGCTGCCCGACAGTATCTAGCAGTGTGCGATAAGCACAAGCCAGGGCCCAGCTCACTGCAATGATCTTTTCCTCCTTAGGGTCATCCTGGTACTTTTCTTTCAGATATTTCCCCACCTCAGCTGGGTTCTGAATTTGTTCATGGGGAAAGTCCTAAACTATAGGGTCAGAGAATTCCCTCAGGATTTGGCCCATATCCTCCCATTTCCCACACCACTTAGGATTTTCCACACCTGGGTCTACTCCTGGGTCAGGGGTCTCATCAGCCCCTCTAGAAATCTCAGCCCTCACTCTAGAGAAGCAGCAGGCTGTATAGAGGAAGCTTACCAGATTGAATACCAGAAAGATGGTCTCTTACACATTCAGGGGAAACTGAACATTCTTCAATAGTGATGCAACAGATTCAGAGGAGAAGAAGGAAAACAAAGGCTGAAAGCCTCATCCCCTGCTTCTCTAACAAACTGGGTGCATAACCATAGCCACAAGCCATTCATACGTGGAGCAGACCCCAGCATGTTTATAAACTTCTTACAAATCATTGCCACCAAGTCAAGCAGGAAAGCTATCTTTATCACAGACTGCACAGCTGCAAAAATACACATTAATAACTACAAGACATTAAGGACAGAAAAGTATGTTTGAAAATGCAAATATAGTCCTATTTTATACTTTTCTCAGTAAAAACATTTGAGAGAAACTGTTGAAGTCAACAAAATAACATTATTAAACCCAACTCTGCTCTTTAAGGTGATCTTGATCAGTCAAAAGCTTTGCACAGAAACATACAGAAATGTATTTTATCATAATTTTCCCTTCCCAAAAGGCCTCCAGTGTTCCTGCATGGCTTAGGAAAGCAGTGAGAAGTCTTTATATTTAGTTCTCACAGAAAACGTGCAATGACTTTTGGTTTTTGCTATCTCAGCCTTTGTACAAAGGATGCTAAAACCCAAAGGAGGGAGTGCTTTCAGTATTGCCTTAGGCCCTTTCTTTAATGCTGGTACAGTTCTAAAAGCCCGATTTTGATGAGACAGAAGAACCAAGAGAAAAGAAAAGGTACAGGGGAGAAAAAAAGGTGTCCCAAAAGTGCAGGAGGGAGGGGGAGAGGCAGGGCAGGGAGGACCCAGGACACACAAAACAGAGTTGGGGTCCAGGGCCTGGGACTGGCTGCAACTCCAGTTGTCAGTGCTGCTGCTTCTCCTTCAGCCTCCCTTCCTGCTCAGCACTTCAGGGGGCTCGCCTATCCTCCACCTAAGAACAACCCGAACACTAAGGATAACTAGAATAGACAAACCTGTAGCTTAAATATTACTTTGAAATGAATAGCTGGAGTGCACAGCCCAAAGATCATGGGCTACCACATCTGGGTTTGCAGTTCTGCAAATCAAGACTTTCTCTCCGACAGAAACTCCTCCCAATACTGAGCAGCTGTGCCTAAACAAGGATTTCAGGACTCTGCCACACTGCAACAGACTATATCCAATACAGCAGAACTGGCATCTTCCACTGTCACAGACATCTTTTATGAAAAATCCTTTCCTTAGGATTTTTCCTCCTGAGAAGCCAAGAGGCCTCAGTAACAAAATGTAAACAATGGTTATCTGCTGCTGTGGGATGCAACAGGTGCATCTGTGATTGGTCTCATGTGGTTGTTTCTAATTAATGGCCAATCACAGTCAGCTGGCTCGGACTCTCTGTCCGAGCCACAAGCCTTTGTTATTCATTCCTTCTTTTTCTATTCTTAGCCAGCCTTCTGATGAAATCCTTTCTTCTATTCTTTTAGTATAGTTTTAATATAATATATACCATAAAATAATAAATCAGCCTTCTGAAACATGGAGTCAGATCCTCATCTCTTCCCTCATCCTGGGACCCCTGTGAACACGGTCACATTCCACCTCTCCTGAAAACCAGAAACACAACAGCACAGTGCCTTAGGAAATGCCAGGAAGGTGAGGCAATCTAAGGGATGGCAGTGGGTGTGTCTGCACCAGCAGAGCCCCACTGAGTCCTGCCCTGCTGCTCCCAAAGCTTTCCAGTTCCCTTCAGCCCAGGCCCAGAGAGCTCCCAGCTCCAGGGAGTGTCCCAGTCCTGGGACAGCTCCCAGGCCCAGACACCTTCCTGTATTTGTGGATGAAAGCATCAGTCTTGCCCAGGCTAACAGCATAGACACCCTCTGGCAGCAGGGACCCGAAATGTCTGCTGAGAACAGGTTCTGCACGCCCCTGGGCCAAGGAGGAGGAATTCCCATCCACACTAGGGGCTGTTCTGTTGTCACCATCAGCACTCCTGGTCAAACCATCCATGGCCTGTGCAGGAGCTGCTCCACTGTCACTGTCAGCAGAGGCCTCAGCAGGGTCACCTCCAGCACTCCTGGTCAAACCATCCATGCGTCTGTGGAGCTCCTGGCTCAGCAGCAACACCAGGGTCCCTCCAACAAGAAGCACTCTGGCAATCACAGGAAAAAGAAAGGTTAGGTGTTGATCCCTCCTGGCATCCCTTTGCCACTGCTGACACTTCAGATGCCACCTGCGTTCAGTGAAACACCCGAGTGTGCCACGGCTCAACTCGGTGAGCTGCACCTCCAAGGGGGGTTTAAATCCCTGATCTTCTTACCTCTTTCTAAATGGGAGAACAGGGCCCTGTCCTGACTCCAACACATTTCTGATGGCAGCAGTTCTTTCTGTTGGGTTAGCAGGGAAGAGGGACTAATTTTTTACTGCCCTTACTCTTTCAAGGATCAAGGGCACCCTCAAGCCCAGAGTTTTTGGAGATTGCAAAGGAACAGCCTCCCAGTGCAGCAAGGGCTGCTCAGATTAGCATGGTAACTCCCTTCCTTTTGGAAACTTCAAAAAACAGCCTTTTGGAACTTTCCCTGTTCCACTGATCCTTCATGGCTTTCAAACTCAGGAAGCAGAAGAAAATTAATAAATGTTTGCAATTAATTTTTGTAGGTAAATGTCCAAACATTACACGTGGCTTTGAAAGAAGGGGAAAAGAAATACTGTCCTGATTCAGTTTACAGCAAGTAGCTTGAACAGCTTTACTGGTGGGGCTCTCATGGCCCCTTCCTCATCTCCACCTTTCTAAGGGAATATTTTACTTAGGATGGACCAATAGAGCAAATAAGGGCAGAAAACAAGCACAGTAAGATTGCCACACCATTCTGTGGAGCCATGCAACCTTCTCCATCACCTTCCCACCACATTCCTGCATTGGCTGAGAGAGATCAACACCTGCTCAAGAGCAGTCCTAGAGAAAGGGCTTCTTGGCAGGCAAGAATAGAGGGGAAGATGGCTTGACCTGTCTGTTGGAAGCAGCCCAGCTATCAGCTTGGCCCAACTCTGCCGCCAAATGACATGGTGAGGGATGAAAGGACACACCTAAAACCAGCCCAGGCTGCTAGTGAGGCATTCCTGGACAGCAAGGACGATGCATGCCCCTTCTTCTAGTCTGAGATCCTTCCTGCCAAAGTAGGCTGGTCAAAGCTGGGCTGTGACCTCAAAAAGGAAAGACTATGAATTTATACGAGCAGGCCTCAACTAGAAAGGGATTACAGCTTTATTTGCCTGGCCATGCTTTAACTTGTCCAGGTAGGCCTCTCCTCTTTCTCCTTTCTGCCACACTGGAGTGTGGCTCAGAAACACTTCCCCAAATGCCTTGCAAAGAGCATTTGTGAGCATGGCTCACACAGGAGCCTCCACTGGCACTCAGAGCTGGTGAGACACAACACAACAGCCTCCAAGGGACAGGAATGGGCTGGGACCCCCACAGCCTGCACAGAGTCACACTGCAGAGCTGCAGACTATGGAACAAAGCACGTCTGAAGCTGGCTAAATGCTCAGATCACAAACCATCATGGCACTTCCATCAAACCCTGAGCGTGCCGAAGGCCACACGTACCTCTCCATTTCCTGGAGAAGATCTGGTAGGAGCTGAGCATCACTTGTGGTCTTGAACTTCTTCCCAAATGGAATATCTGAAATAACGCTGTCAAAGCTTTCTGAAGGCAATGGCAGCGCTGCAGGATAAAGGCAGGTCTTTATTTATCTCTGACTGTGTGAAAAATGCACAGCAGCTCTGCCCCTGTTGCCCTTTCAACACTGCCTGCCAGCTCTTTGTGGGCTATGCACATTCACACAATCCATATAATCCACATAATCACACAATCTAAAATAATCCACATTTTGGATTATGCAGATTCACAGCTCCTTCAGCACTTGCCCTCCACCACGGAGACACCACCCCTCTGCAGACTGGCAGGAGACAAATGTGTGGCAGCACTGTTCAGCCTGCAGAGTCTCTGCCCCTGCAGCAAGACTCTCCTACGGCACTACATGGTCCCAAATTAACTGCTGCCCCTCAACACCCACTACATCTTAAACATGAAAATCACTGAGCAAAACACAAAAGAAGAGCTATGTCTGTGAGCACTTTACTCGGTGAAAATGTTCTAGTGCATGTGTATGAATGGGAAGGAGCCACCTTCAATTCCTCTCCACGCCCCTTTTCAGCCCCCAGGAATCTGGTTACAGCCAGAATCACCTGAATTCTGTCAGAGCTGATGCTGTTGAAGGGTCTCCTTAGAGCTCCTGTATCCCACCCAGGTCAGCTCCCCTAAGGAAGATGTAGCACTGTGCCTGTGGTGATGGAGGCTGGCCACGTGCCAGGCTGTGCAGGCCAGCTGAGACCCCTCCTGAGACCCTGGGGGTCGCTCCATTCTGTGCCAGGCTGTGCAGCCAGGCTGAGATCCCTCCATCCTGTGCCAGGCTGTGCAGCCAGGCTGGGGTCCCTGGGATCCTCCATCCTGTGCCAGACTGTGCAGCCAGGCTGGGATCCCTCCATCCCGTGCCAGACTGTGCAGCCAGGCTGGGATCCCTCCATCCCATGCCAGGCTGTGCAGCCAGGCTGGAGTCCCTCCATCCCGTGTCAGGCAGCCAGGCCTGGGCCCTGCACAGACCCTGGGGTCCTTCATCCCTCAGGGTGCTCCAAACTCACTGGACATGGCCTTGAGCAGACAGCAGGACTAAAGACTTCCAACAGCTCCTCCTCACCCAAACTCTGCTGAGATTCTGTGCCAACTTTTCTACAACTAGCTGGAGATGTTTCCTGGACCATTCTTGGGTCAACACTTGCAGCACAACAACTGGGTATCAATTTTATCTGCAAATGAAAGGACATGCCACCTACAGCCCTGCTCAAGACATGCAGGAGTGACAGCTTCTGACCAGTGATGGAGATACCAACTTGCTCCATTTAGAAAACCTGGCAGCTAAGTACCCTTCGTTATCCTAGAAACCAAAGTCAAACACATCTTTTAAGTGAGAAATAAACCTACATTTTTATAAAAAATCAATAATGTTTCTTACCATTCCAGTAAGAAATTAATACTGCAAGGTAAAAAAATATGCACACTTCATCACTCATGCACAGGGAAACTCAGCCAGCTTGCCTGTCATGAATTTCATATTGGCATAATTTAGCCTCAGACTCAGAGGTCCAGAATAAGGTCATTAAATTATTTCCTTCTCTACAGAATAGCTTGTAAATCAAGAGCAAACAGACTCCCTCTTACAGGAGAAAGGAACCATCATTCAAAATACTCCTACTGCAATACATGAAAAATTCAGCTCAGTTTAATGCGTCCTCATCAATACTCACCTGGTAAATTTAACTTACAGGCTGCATTTCATTTGGATTTGTCCTGGCTGTGCTCCACTAAGATACAAAGAACTCTCACATGGTACATACTCTTTATGTATTGCGGTGGTAAATCACACATTTACCATGAAGAGTGACAACTCCTGTCCATGGCAGACAATTGCAATTTTTATTGTCTTCTGCTGACTTAATTCTTAAAGTTGAATGAAAGTTCCAGGTGCAGGCAGCAGGGAGGAATTACAAATAATTATTCCTTCACTAGCACAGAGTCACCACCCAGCTATTTTGGGGAGTTAGCTCTGCAATGTATCACCTCAGGAGAACCCACCTGTCCAATCCCAGAAACACAAAAAATCCACCTGGAAATAACACAGACATACCTTTCACAGAAGCTTTCAGCAGCTCAATCTTATGCACCAGGCCTGCAGCTCTGATATTGCCATCTGCACCCTCTAACTGGGAGTCACTTATATCAGCACCCCAGTACCAGGCATCCTGTCCAGAGAGAGAGAAAAGCAATTTTGTGAACACTCCAGTTTTTCATTTCATTAACCCTTCTCAAACTGCCTTGTTGCACAGCTCTTGCAAGACAACCCCCTTCCTGGGACATCTGCTGTTGTTACACAAAACAATTCACAATCCAGAGGATGGAGGAACAGAGGAAGTGTGTGCTGCCTCCACTCCTTTAATGTTCAGAAATATTAATGATCAGAGAAGTATGTGCTGTCTCCACTCCTTTAATGTTCAGAAATATTAATGATCAGAGAAGTATGCGCTGTCTCCACCCTTTCAATGTTCAGAAATATTAATGATCAGAAGTATGTGTTGTCTCCACTCCTTCAATGCTCTGGTCTGCTCAAGGCCCTTGAAATGACAGAAATACCAAGGGCATGTCCTAACAGCAGGACCCCAGCTAGGTTCAGCCAGGCCCACTGCCCCTAAAGCTGATGACTGCCCCATGACACTGACTCCTCTGAGCCCAGGACAAGCCCAGGCAGCTCCACAAGCTTGTGGCTGCCTCACACAAACCCTGCAGTGGAAATCACCAGCTGCACCAGCCTGCAGGACACATTCACCTGGGGGAACCTTTGCACTGAAAAGCTTCTAGCAGCTGCCTGGAAAGGCTGGTTTGGTTTCAGCTTTCCATGCAGCAATGGGCTTTGGCCTAAGAGGCAGAGAGAAAACCCTGTCCCACAAGTACCAGTTTCCCTGCAGAGGGAAACTCCAGCAGCTGGGGCTGGGATACTCACAGGCCACTCCTTGGCAGCCTCCAGCAGGATGGTTCCTAGCCCACACATGGGATCCAGCACAAGGGCACCAGCCTACAAAAACAGAGGGGTTACTGCATCCCCAGCAAGACAGACTCCTCAGCAAGGACAGAGCTCATAGAGGGATGTGCATAATCCCACTGAACCCAGCACAGGTTAACAAGAATCTCTGGTAATCCACGGCCAAACTCGCCTATAAGGGAATATAGTGAAAAGCACCCATAGCTTCACTGCAGACATCCCTGAGGAGACATTCAGGAGGAAATATTACAAGTGGGCTGCAGACACATATTTGTACCACTGTGAAAAGAGATCACATTTCCTTGGAAAACAACACCAATGTTTCATTTTTTCACCGTCACAGAACAGCAGAAAAAAATCTCACCATTTAGATATGTATCTGTACAAGGATTACCAGCTCTGTTGAGAAGCACCTGGAGTTACAGCAGACACCTGGCTGAACTGCAGGTGACAGCACATTCACCACAGGCATGGCAGACCCTGTCCATCTACAGGCACTAGGGAATGGGGCACTGAAATCATCCCACTGCTCCCCAGTGAATGGGGCACTGAAATCACCCCACTGCTCCCCAGTGAATGGGGCACTGAAATCACCTCACTCCTTCCCAGTGAATGGGGAGAATGGGGCACTGAAATCACCCCACTCCTTCCCAGTGAATGGGGCACTGAAATCACCCCACTCGTTCCCAGTGAATGGGGCACTGAAATCACCCCAATCCTTCATAGCCAGTGAGGAGAATGGAGCAGTGAAATCACCCCAATCCTCCCCAATAAATGGGGCACTGAAACCACCCCAATCCTTCACAGCCAGTGGGGAGGATGGGGCACTGAAATCATCCCACTCCTCCCCAGCCCCCATGAGCAGCACCCCATTCCCTTAATTCAGGACCCATTTCTTGGCAAGGAACACTCACTGACCCTGATTTCAGCCAGAGATGCCATGGCCCATGCCACTGTTGACCGCAGCCCTGCTGTTCTGATATACTCTCTGTTTGCCAATGGAAGCCTGCAGACAGCAAAAAACCAAAAAAGTTAACTAAACCAACAGCAGAAAAGACCATGTGATGTTAAAGAACAAATGAACTGGACAGATCTCCTGAGAGACAGAGAAGTGTCTTTTAACCATAACTCACTGCAAAGTCTGGCTCTGTGTTCATTTAAAACCCAGGCAGATCACAAGACTAATTTGACAACAGTGGTTATTAAACCAAAAGATAAATACTCATGGTGGATAGCAAGATTTACAAATCCTGTCTGTTCTGATACTGCCATGACAAATCCAGTGGGGAAAACACTTACCTGAAAAGAGGAATCCCCACCACAGAGTGAATGTCATTGAGATGTACAAAGATCTAGAAGAGGAAAAAAAACCAACCCAAATATTTTAGAGTCTCAAACTGACACAACAATAGCTTTAACTCACTTAAACCAGACATAGATGCTTCTACAACTTCTGATTTCAGTTTTTAAGAACAAAAATGCATACTATAAACAGTAACAATTAATTGGAAGAAATCCTACTAGATGATCTGAATGCCACTTTGCAGATGATTTAATGCTCAGTCAAGCTGAGGGGTATTTTGTCAGCCAGGAATCCATCAGCAAGCACTTGAATTTATAAGAGCGCCTATTTTTCCTTAACACAGCATAGGAATTTTTAGTTATAAATCCATTTACTACAAGTGGGAGAATATTATTCACTGTATACTAGCAACAAAAAAATAAACATTTAAAAAAACACCAACGAAACAAAAAATCCCAAACAAAAAAAATCAAACAGGCCATGGTCCCACATGCAGAGGGAGCAGAGAACCAAAGCAGAGGTGTCAGGTGAGTCTGGAAGCACCCACAGGCACACGAGCAGCCCTACCTCCAGGTCAGGGTCCCGCAGATCAGCTCGCCACCCACACTGCTTCACCAGGGCTGTGCCAAGGGCTCTGCCAACCTCCTGCGAGGGGACAACAGTCACAGGCATGAGAAAACACAACTGGGGAAACTGCAGAGCACAGGAACGAGAAAAAACACAACTGGGGAAACTGCACAGCACAGGCAGGAGAAAACACAGAGCTGGGGAAACTGCAGAGCACAGGCAGGAGAAAACACAGAGCTGGGGAAACTGCACAGAGCTGGGGAAACTGCAGAGCACTGGCATGAGAAAACACAGAGCTGGGGAAACTGCAGAGCACAGGAATGAGAGAAAACAGAGCTGGGGAAACTGCACAGAGCTGGGGAAAATGCAGAGCACAGGCATGAGAAAACACAGAGCTGGGGAAACTGCAGAGCACAGGAATGAGAGAAAACAGAGCTGGGGAAACTGCACAGAGCTGGGGAAACTGCAGAGCACAGGAACGAGAAAAAACAGAGCTGGGGAAACTGCAGAGCACAGGAATGAGAGAAAACAGAGCTGGGGAAACTGCACAGAGCTGGGGAAACTGCAGAGCACAGGAACGAGAAAAAACAGAGCTGGGGAAACTGCAGAGCACAGGAATGAGAGAAAACAGAGCTGGGGAAACTGCACAGAGCTGGGGAAACTGCAGAGCACAGGCAGGAGAAAACACAGAGCTGGGGAAACTGCACAGAGCTGGGGAAACTGCAGAGCACAGGAATGAGAGAAAACAGAGCTGGGGAAACTGCACAGAGCTGGGGAAACTGCAGAGCACAGGAACGAGAAAACACAGAGCTGGGGAAACTGCAGAGCACAGCCTCAATGCACAACCCTCAGAAATCCCAGGGAAGAGCCTATGCCTAAGACAGTAACTCATATAACTCACAGTAGAAGAGGTACAACAGGACAGAGCAGGTGAGTGAGGGGCAAAGCAAACACAGCACAAGGCAAACAACCAATGCTCAGCTGCAGCAGGAGAGGAGAGGCTGAAGTTCCAGTCCTGACCAAGCCACAATAAAACGTTAACTTGAGCTGGACTTGATCCTTGTGGGTCCCTTCTAATTCAGAATATTCCGTGACTGCCACCATTTTGGAATTCTTAATCACATGCACAAAATACCTCCAATGGCTCTAAGGCAGATTACCCAACAGAAAACCTGCAAGTGCACAACTACACCTCACAGTTTTAATGCTTTCGTTACGTATAGAAAGCTCTGATTACCTTCAGAGTATAGGTTCAAATAGCACAAATTTAGGCAAACACTTCCCTTGTAGGGAAGCTCATATGTCTCACCTCACCAAGGTACTAGCTTTAGTAGGAAAAAAAATCTAAATACTGACACCTTCCAGTAAGAGTAACCAGATGGGAAGAGGGCTAAATGGAACAGACCCCTGGAGGACGGCATGCCACTATTCCTTCCCAAGGACCAAGCTCCACTCCTCCCAAGACTCCCAGGGCTGTATTCCTGAAGAACAAATTCTCCCCAATACCCAGCCAGAGGCAACTGAAGTTGTGAGTTTTGGCTTTTGCCCCTTTGTCCAGACTGCACAAATGAGAGGAGTCTGGCCCCACAGTCCTTGCAATGGCCCTTCAAAGAGATGTAAATTATTCAATCACTCCTCAGCCTCCACTGGCCCAGAACCTCAAACTCTTACCTTTGCTTTTCCTCAACAAAAGGTATTGATTTGAAAAACATGAAGGGTAACAGTGCCCAGAAATCAAAACCAGCATTTGTATTTCTACTTGTTTAAGGTGAATGCAGGTTAAGGGCTTTTAGAGAAAAGACAGAAAAAGCTTACAAGAGTTTATTATTCCAGAAGACACAACTGAAATGACAAAGTACACATCTCTGTTCACCCTTGCTGGATTATTTTAAAGCAGGTACCTCAGCATACCTGTGAAGTCAGTGTTCTGGCAATGGCTCCACTGCAGCGACATGACACCCTGAAGCTGAAGCCAAGCTGCTCAAGGGCAGCAGGATGCTCTGCACTGCCCATGGAAGGCAATTCTGAGCAAGTCCTGCTCTCAGTCCAGCACTCCTGCCTGCTCATTCTGGCTGGTGCCTCACAGGTCTCTTCAGCCCCCACCTGACACTCCTCAGACACAATTGCCCTCACTTGTTCTGTTTTTTGCCTTTTACTTGCAGTATTTGTCTCTTCTTCTGACTTCCTCTTCAGAGCCAATGCATTTTCTATAGAGCCATCATCTGTTTTCCCCTCATGTCCATGAAGCTTCCTCCAAACAGAGACAATATCCAGCCAGTATTTCGGGTCCTCGATGACCAGGTTTTTAATCTCATGAAGCATTTTCCCTGGAAGCAAAAAGCAGTTTTGGGTTAAGTACCTCAGCCTCGGCATTTCACTTCCCTGTGCCCAGATTTCATTAATGTGTGAGTCCAGAATCACAGGCACAGCTGAGCCCTCACCACCCACCAGGAGCCACACAGGTGCCCCTCTGATTACCAGCTCTGCACAACCAAGACTAAATCACACAAGGGCTGAATTCTGCACAAGAACTCAGCAGCTGTGGAAAGCCAGAGCACCTGTGAGAGCCATTCCCAGGGACAGAGCACCAGCCTAGCATGCCACCTTCCCCAGAAAACACCTGGCCCAGGTTTAAGCGACGCAGAACACTCTCCAGAATCAAAAGACAGATACAAACATGAATTACTTTGAGTCATCTCAGGCAAAACTAAGTTTATTCTTCCAGAAAGAAATTTTTTTGCTTCTCATTCATCACTGTGCCTTCAATCCTGCAACACACACCGACACGCGTGGGCAGTCCCCAGCTAGCCACAAGAGAGGCATGAGGAACAGAGAGGCTGATTCACTTAAATGCATCACCGCTGGTCAAGGAAAAAAAATAAAGGTCTTTCTAGTTATCGCTTAAAATCTTAGAATCATGACCAAATTTCATCCTCAAAGCTGAAGGTAATCTCCCAGATAAAAATCAATCCATCTAACTTGAAATTCTCACTCCAACACTGACAGAGAGCACGACCCAAGGAGCTGAGACTTAGAAGGGAGCAGCGTACTTAGGAGTAAATTGACACAATATATAGATTGGGATTCACTTTGCTTAACAGAAAATAAGACTTCTTGTTAAAATAAACACAAGAGATCCAGGGCTGAATGCTGCTTTTTGGGTGGGGTATTATTCTCTTTTTTGGGGCTAGGTGGGGGAGAGAGTCTCTGAAATACACATATACACTCAGTGCCAGCAGAAAACAGGCTGCAAGGTAGCTATTGAAAACAATTTAAAAGCCCTTTTCAGGTCAAAAACATGTTGAAAACACACGTGGGTGAAAGACACTTTAGAATCGACTACTGCCAATTAGAACTACAGCCACCGGTAAAAAACTAAACACTTCAAATGTTATAACCAGGACTCAAACCAAGGCCTCCCGTGTCCGTACCTCTGTTCCCAGACACCGGCAGCGGGCTGTGCTTCTTCAGCAGCAGGAACAGGCGCTCCCCCGACCGCAGCTGCCGCAGCTCTCCGGGCCCCGCCGCCGCCCTGAAGAACACTTTTCCCGAGACGCAGTCCACCTCCGGGAGGAACACCCATCGGACCGGGCCGGGCCGGGCCGGACGGCTCCGGGTGAGCGCTCCCACAGTGCCGCGGGCAGCGCAGCCCCGGCTCCCTCCGGGTCAGTCCTCCCGCAGCCCCGGCTCCCTCCGGGTGAGCCTCTCCGACCCCGGCCAGCCCCGCGCGTGGGCCGGCACAGCCCGGGCCGTGCTCCGGACGCGGAGCTCCCTGCTGAGCCGCACCGGACCGCCCGGGTGGTCACCGGCACCGGCTCCCCGCTCACCCAGACCGGACCGGACCGCCCGAGTGGTCACCGGCACCGGCTCCCCGCTCACCCGGCTGGTTACTAGCTCCGGCTCCCAGCTCACCCGGGTGGTCACTAGCTCCGGCTCCCCGCTCACCCAGACTAGACCGCCCGGGTGGTCACTGGCACCGGCTCCCCGCTCACCCGGCTGGTCACCGGCTCCCACTCCCTGCTCACCCGGACCGCCCGGCTGGTCACTAGCTCACTCGCACCGGACCGCCCGACTGGTCACCAGCTCCGGCTCCCCGCTCACTCGCACCGGACCGCCCGACTGGTCACCAGCTCCGGCTCCCCGCTCACCCAGACCGGACCGCCCGGCTGGTTACTGTCTCCGGCTCCCCGCTCACCCGGAGCCCCCGGCTGGTCACCAGCTCCGGCTCCCCGCTCACCTCGGTGGCGCCGAGCCGCGCCCGCACCTCCCGCGCCAGGAAGGGCTCCAGCCCGCGGCCCGCCGTGCAGAAGAATAGCCCCGGCTCTGCCGCCGACATCTTGGAGCGGCGGGGCGTAATGGGGGCGGGGCTCCTCGGGCTACCGGGGGCGGGGCCTCCTGGGGCGTGGCCTAATGCATCAGTAATTACATTAAAAATTCTCCTCTCCTCTCATCACCTCACATCCCCTTCCATCACCTCCCCTCTCCCTTCTCCTCTCCTCCTTTCTCCTCCCCTCTCGTCCCATCTCTTCTCATCGCCTCCCCGCGCCTCCCCTCTCCTCCCATCACCTCCCTTCTCCCTTCTCCTCTCCTCCCATCTCCTCCCCGCTCCTTCTCCTCCCTCACGGCCCGGTCTCACGGCGCCCCCTGGCGGGCCCCGCGGTGTGCCGCGCGCATGCGCGGTGCGCGGTGCCGTTGCCATAGCAGCGGGAGCCAACAGGGAGGCGCCGCCATGAGCCCGCCCGAGGTGGAGCCGCTGGTGTGCCGCAAGTACGAGATCAAAAGGCGCCTGGGCAAGGGGGTGAGTGCCTGGCGGGGGCTGGCCTAGGGGAGCCGGGGCGGCCTGGGGGAGCCGGGGTGGTCGCGGGAGCTCGGAGGGCCCGTGAGAGCTCGAGGGGCCCGTGTGGAGTTCAGGGCGCCGTGAGGGCTGCGGGCGGCCCGGGGCAGCTGAGGCGGTGTTTGGGAGTTCAGGCGCCCGTGGGAACTCTGTCTGTCCCTCAGGGCCCTGTGGGAGCTCCAGGTGATCCAGGGGAACTCCGGGGGACTGTAAAAAGTAAATAGTAAAATAGATCTGAGTAGATCTCAGATCTCAAAGTACATTCTCTGTATGCCTGCCAAATCCTTCTACATTTACTGTAACCCCATCACTTCAGATCATGCTGCATCAAGTCATATCTTCCACGTAAAATGTATTTTTAAACTTAAGCCAATGGCAATTTCTAAGATATGTCTCCTCAGACAGTCTCTAAACTTTCCTGAGTTACCTGCTTTACTATTCTGGCAGCTCTTTGCTATCATTTACTTGAGTTGATACGAGTACTTAAGTATTTTCCTCATTATGTTCGCAGAGTCAAGGAGTCACTGAGGTGGAAAAGCCCTCTGAGCCTGTGGAGTGGAGCTGCTCCCCAGCAGTGCCAAAGCCACCGCTGACCCCTGTCCCCCCCCAGTGCCATTAAATCTGTTAAATCCCCCAGGGATGGGGACCCCCGTCTGCCCCGAGGCAGTCTGTGCCACAGCTGCACAGCCCTTTGCAGAAGAGTTTTTTCCAATATCCAACCTAAACCTCCCCTGGCACAACTCGAGGCTGTTTTGCAGTTGCCAGCAGGGTAGTGCTGTACCACTTACCTGAGGCACTTTGTACAGCTGTTTGTACTGCCTGATGGGGGGAAAGCCTGTTACATGTTACTGGGGCAAGCCTCCTTGATGTCCTTACATGAGTGTTTAACCACCAGGATCATACATTGCTGCTCTTTTGCTTTGTACAAGTATTTAAACAGTAAATGGGCATTTCTGAGCAGGATGTGATCCCTTTGTGTAAAGGTAAAGCTGCTCCTAGGCTGTGGAAAGTCCAGATTCAAATCTATGGCCTAAAATGAAAAAACTGGATCTGTACCACAAGTGAGACTGAGTAATCATCATTTGCAAGGATCACAGTAATGCAGAATAGGGAAAACTCAAGTAGAAGTTCCCGTTCCCTTAACAGACAACACAGCTCTTAATTGAAAAAAATGGTTTAGTGTTGGACCTGACAGTGCTGTGTTAGTGCTTGGACCCAATGGTTTTGGAGGGCTTTTCCACCCTCAGCAATTCTGGGATGCTGTCACTACAGACTTTGGTAAAAATTCGCTCTCCATCATTCTTACCACCCCCTTTCAGTTCTGAAGGAGCACAGTGAATTGTCCCTGGACTGACACCCCAGTGTCCCAGCCTGGCTGCAGAGCAGAGCCCTGACCCCTCAGAGCATCTCTGTGCCCTTCTCTGCAGCTGCTCAAACTGCTCTGTGTCCTTCCTGCTGAGCAGCTCCAGGCTGGGTGCAGTGTTCCAGCTGGGAATCTCACCAGAGTCAGATGTGGGCAATGATCTCTCTCGACCTGCCAGCCACACCCACCATGGCTCCTACAAGCCAGGTGCCACTGGCCTCTTGCCACCTGGGCACACCTGGCCTCGTGTTCAGCCACTGCCACCAGCACCACCAGGTCCTTCCCAGCTTCCCAGCCCCTCTGGGAGGTGGAAAACACACACTCCTCCTGCTCAGCTCCCAAGCCTAGCACGTTTAGTGGGGTTGTTGTGATCCAAGAGCAAGATCCTGGCCTTGTTGATCCTGGCCTATGCACCACTGGCCTCAGCCTGTCCATCCCATCCCATTGTCCCACCCCATCCCATTATCCCACCCCATCCCATTATCCCATCGCATCCCATCCCATCTCATCCCATCCCATCGCATCCCATTGATCCCATCCCATTGATCCCATCCCATCCCACTCCATCCCATTAATCCCATCCCATTATCCCATTATCCCATCCCATGCCCAGCTTCTTGGGGCAGCTGGTGCCAGGGCCTCACTACTGTCACAGGGAAGGATTTATTCCCAAATCCCATTTAAACCCTGCCCTCTGGCCGTGAGAAGCCCTTCCAAGTTGTGTTGTCCCTCCAGGCCCTTGTCCATAGTTCCTCCTGAGCTCTCTTGGAGCCCTTTCAGTCCCTAGAAGCAGCTCTAAAATCTCCTGCAGCCTTCTCTTTGCCAGGCTGCACAACCCCAACCTGTTGGGAAGGAGGAAAGTTTGACAGGAAAGTCTCTCAGACATGTATGCTTAGCAGAAAGATTTTTAAATGTTGAGTCTGATGAAGGAATAGAGATGGAAGCAAGTTTTGATATAGAAGAAAAGAATTGTTGAGCCAATCTTACTGGATAACCAAGGAGGCAAAGGGTGTGTTAGTTAGAAGGGGTTTTTATGCCTTAGAACAAAGGATAAACCCACCCCAAACACGAAGATGTTTTTACCAAGCAGAAAGAGAGCACAGGCAAACAAATCAGCAAAGTTGCAAGTAGAAAAAAGGTCTCAGAATTTTCCACTGCAAGAAAATGAAAAACAACTTCTAGCTTAGACTGTAATGTACTAACTTTTAGTGATTGGAGAACAGTAACATGAATATGGTAACTACAGTAGTTATGATAGGCTGTAGATAAAAGTTAAGGTATAGATTGGTTCTACTGTATTAAGGTGCTCAGCAAACAAAAGTCTATAATGCATTGTGATCAAAACCAAAGGGTCTCCAGGCCTGCATGAAGCTCGAGCTGACAGCTGTGGGCACAGCTCTGTTGCCCATGACCCTGGACTGCTCTAACACCTTGGATGGAATAAACTGCATTTTGTATACAATAAACTGCGTTTCATATGCAATAAATGCATTTTGGATACAATGAACTGCATTTTGGAGAGCTGCCTGGAGTCTCACATCCCTCATTCAGGCTCTTACACCAACCCTCAGTGTGTGTCCTGAGTCCTTGGCCTGGTCTCTCTGTCCTCCACGTGGCTCCCATCACTCCTGCTCCTGCTCCAGTCCCTCCCTGAGCCCGTCCTGGTCCCGTGGCAGCCCAGGCTGCATGCAGCTGCCAGCACTCTTGTTATAAATTGTGATTTTTCTCACCTGTCCTGCCTCTCCACAGGCCTATGGCATCGTCTGGAAAGCAACCGACCGCCAGACAGGAGAAACAGTTGCTGTTAAAAAGATTTTTGATGCTTTCAGGAACAGAACAGATGCTCAGGTGAGAAATTACTGTCCTGATGTGTTCTGAGACGTGGTGGGATTCTATAGGTATTTTCAGGACTTCTGTCTCTGAAAGATGATAATTATGCACATAACAATACAGTCTGCAGCCATACTGGGATAAAAACAAGCAATAAACATCAAGCTGTGTGTATCATGGCATGTATAAAAGAGGAGTGGATTTAACCCTGTCATTGAACTGCCTCTCTGTTCTGCTGTTCTCTTGAGGTGATGATAAACTGTTTTTTCTTTATTTCTAGAGAACATTTCGAGAGATTATGTTCCTGCAGGTAATGTCCATGTTCCCCCTCCTCTCTGATTTTTTTAGTATCTCTGATGCCCAAGTATTTTCTTCCCACTGTTTTCCAAAATGCAGCAGTCATTGATTAGTGTTGATAAGTCTTTAATTTCTATTCTTCACCATCTTGGCAAAGAGGCTTTCAGGGTGAACCCACCTGAATAAAACACTCTCCACTTGGGCTTGTTTTTACTCTTTCCCCATTTTTAGCAGTGTGTCTGCTGCACAGCACATCAGCACCTTCTGTCACTTATTGCTGCTTTGTGGATAGAAACTATTTTCTCTTACATTTTAACTGCTGTAATTGGAGGATGGCTACAGGCCAAAATTGTTTTCCTCCATCATGCTATAAGCAATTTAATCACTTAAAATAACCTAACCAAAAGAAAAAGGGAAGTTCTGCAGGGAATAACTTAACACTACTCTTGTTTTCATATAATTAATCTTATCAGTGGCATTCCAGTTAATTGTCCACTCCTCCTTAGACTTAGCATGTTTCTACGTTTCCAATATTTTGGAATAATGTTGTTATTAATTGTTATTTTCTAAGGACACAAGCGAGGCAGGGCTCATAGAAGAGGTATTTCCTAAGACTGCCAAGTTTAAGTAGGAAAGAGATTATTTTTTTAACATTTTAGTCATTCTTGAAGCCTGAAATAGAAACTGAAAACTTTAAAGCTAAAAATATAAACATTCTTTAGAAATTAACTACCTTGGAAGTTTGATCATCTCTGAAGGTGCAGCACTCCTGGAATGGATGGATGCAATAGGAGCAGGGGAAAAAAGGATATTTCTTCTGAAGGAAAGGAGGAGTCACTTGGCAGAGGAGGGCAGGGAGAGGGAAGTTAATGTGCTGCTCAGCCCGTACTTCCATAACTTCTGGTGCTCAATAGACTTTAAGAATTTTAGTTTCCCCTGCTATTTTAAACCTCTTTCTTGAGGTTCAAGACTGAGGGCTCAGAAAGGAAAAGATGTGAAAAATACTCTGTTA